TTTTAGTATGAACTTTAAAGGAGTTATCCAAGATGGTAAACCTATTTTGAAGATAAGGATCAGCACCTTGGATAACCCCCCTTTCAAGTTCATCAAACTACCATCTGAGAAAGCCTCATTATTCCACTAACATTGGAGCCTCCAGTTACTACAGTGCCATATACTGTGGGGCAATGATATAGACTCAAGCCAATTGACTTAGGCTCAAGTTGGACTCAAGTCACCTCAATGGACGTTTTCACACAGGCGGCTCTAAAGCCGCCTGGAAGCCCCCTGGAAGCAATCAAGAGCCATTCCGGCGGCGAAAACAGCAGCCGCCGGAATGGCTCCTGATTGCCTCCGGCAGCAGCCCCTGTAATTCCTTTTTAAAAAAGGAATTACAAAAACGGGGCTAAAGCCGGCTAGCGGCAGGGATGGCGCAGGGATTGCGCAAGATGGGGCGGGGCTTGCTGCGACGTCGTGTGAACACGACGAGCAAGACCCCGGAGTGAGGCAGGGATGGCGCAGGGATGGCGAAGGATGGGGCGGGGCTTGCTGCGACGTCGTGTGAACTTATCCTGCACAGAGCCGGAGTGGGGCCGGACGGAGGTAGGAATGACTCCGTTTAAAGCCACGTGTGAAAACGTCCAATGACTCAACTTGGACTTGACTCATCAATAAATGATGCACTTGTATATTTTAGCAACCAACTTGCTGGCATGATTCATTTCAAGCAGCAGGCAAGACCTGCTGCCAGAGTGCAAGGTGTATTTCTCAGAGGGCAAAAACAAATGCATTAGGCAATGGGCTTGAGGTGGAAGGATCCTTCTAAACTTCTTTGATGTGCAGTGCAGACAGGCAGCTAAGGAGACCTCAACCACTTAATGTGTTTGCAGTTTCCCTCCAATAAATGTACCCTGCCTCTTTTTTTCTGTTAAAGTTGCCACCCAGACTTGAGATTCAAGTTGAGACTTGACTTGAGAGTATCTTGCAAGGACTTGAGACTTGACTTGAATAAAAGACTTGAATACATCACTGTTGTGGGCCAAGATCATAGATCAGCTGCTTAGAACTGTATTGCATCAGCCTATTGAGTCACTACAATCACATTGTTCAAGAAAACAGGAACATACCAGTTTGAAAACAGTTGCTATCACACTTCTCAGCAATTGTGCTATCATGCTGCTTTGATGATCCATGTTTCATGCTTGCTCTTCTGCACTGCCTTGCTAACTCTGCTTTCCTCCCATGTATGCCCTACCCAGTGCATGTGTTGCAGGGAAAGACACTACTATCCTACTATAATTTCAAGTTACCAGACTTGTGTAATAAAGTCTTTAGTTAAATATACTAATTAAGTAGTGTCTCCTGGGCTGCTCTACTCCTCACTCCTGTTTTACTGGGCATAAGCCACTTCAAACAATAAAGGTCTATTCTCCTGTTGATCAGAGTGCAGCAGTGATGTTTCAACCTCCTACTTCTAGTGATCTCCAGTGTGACAATCAGAAGCAGGGACCCTGTCAAATGCCTCTTCACACCAAAGATTGCTGAAGGGAGGTAGGTGAGAATGTCAGTCTGCTGTGCCCCAATCAGCAGGAGAATATAGCTCTGTTTCTTGCAGTGGCTGATGCCCAGTAAAGCAGGATAGGAGGACTTTTACAAGCTTGGCAATAATTGCATGATTATGAATATGTCAGATCATAAATACAAATCAGTTACGGATGTGTAACTCCAGCTTACATATCCATAACGGTGATAGTGAATCTCACCCTGGAACTTTCCTCATCCCTGCTCATGCCTAACATCTGGGCCAAAACAGTATTAGTGGGTCAGTG